TCATTCCATAACCAACCAGAGTGGACCAGTGCCCTCTTGGAATGTGCGGAGCCAGGGGTGCAAGTTTTAACAATGTTAGCTGACCAATAGTAATACATGAAATTTTGGCAGGGCAAGGCCCCCTTCTGGCTTGCGCACTGTAATCTGGATTTAAACGATTCTTGGGCATTTCTGGTTCCATATGAAACGAGGCCACTGCAACTATCTAATTATTAAAAAAAATGTTTTGGCAGGAAAAGGGGCAGCAATCTGAAAAAGTACCTGATCCTGGGCCCAAGACTACCATCTTAATAGTATTGATAACGGCCCAGGCAAGAGAGAGGGTAAAGCAGGACTCAGCGCAAACATATCTTTTTGAGTCTTAATAAAAAAGGTGGTACAAAGTTATGTTCAAAAGATCATATTATAGTAGTGGAAATTTGGACCCCCAGATAAGTAAAAGAGTTTTCCTCCATTTTTGAAAGGGATATCTGAGTAATCAATGCGATTTGGTTTAATAGACATAAATATGCTTTTGGGTAGATTTAGTTTATACTAGAGAGGCTACCAAACCGATCCAGCACGTCCAATATTCTTGAGGATAAACACTGCAGGGTCTATACATATAAAAGAAGATCGACGCATACAGAGACAGCTATGTGAGTTACGCCTCCCGAACTCTACCCCCGTGCCAATACCCTCATTCAGATGCGTCATTATCATTGCCAATGGGGGGGCTCTATGGCAATATCAAACAGCAAGGGCTAGGGGCAAGCCCTGCCGAGTACCCCTATGTAAATGGAACTAATCTGAAACAATATTATTAGTTCGAACCGCAGAGAGTGGCAAGAATACAAAATCCTAATCATGAAGTTGAATCTTGAGCCCAAGACCAACGCGGGTCATGACAGACAACAGAATAGGACCACACTACACAATCAAAAGCCTTTCTTCAGGCATCAAGGGAGATTTATCACCCTCAGTTGAGTTATGGAATGTGGTCGGCCATACCAACGTTAAATAAGCGTCGAGTATTAAAGTAAGGTTGACGATTAGCTATAAAGGCCCTGTTTGATCTTCGTGAATTATTGTGGGGACAATTTTTCCAGACAGTGGCAAGCATATTAGTGAGGGATTTTATAATCCACAATTTAATATACTGATCTGGCCTATAGGATGCCACATTTGAGGGTCTTTAATCCTGTTTAGTTATCAAAGAGATCGTGGCCTGAGATAAGGTTTGTGGCAATTTTGTTGTTTGCATGTGTTCTAAAAACACAGATGCAAAGACAAGGTGCTAATTTGATTTGCAAAAGCTTGAAGAAATTCGCATGAAAAGTCCATCAGGTCCCTGGTGCCCCGACCACTCTGTAGGGATCGGGTTGCCTTCAGTATTTAAGCTACTGTGATCGATCCCCCCAGTAGCTCTTGTAGCTTCTAACTTAACTCCCGGAATGGTTTTAACTTGCTTAGAATGAATCTATATCAGGCTTGTGAACAGTAGTCTGGCGGTGTAAAAGCCTTCATAGAAATGCCTTAAAATGCGTATTAATCTCCTTTGGGTCCGTTGTTGTGCGGCTTGAATCCTCCTTGATCTCCGATATGGAGTTAGTTGAAACTGACTGCGTATGATGCAAGAGGCATCACCCGGCCCGTTTTTTTCCCATGTTTTCATATATCGTTTGCCGCGTTCTGAGCAAAAGGTTTCTCTGCTCTCTTTAATGTTGAAAGAGTGTCCAAATTCAGATTGAAACAAGAGCTTTTGTTTGTAATAAATCTGGGGGATGGGCATCAGCCATATTCTGAACCAAGATTTGCTATACTTTCAGTGAGTTCCCTGAGCCGCTCAAAACCGCTTCTTGTTTCTTTGAGCCACAAACGAAATAATTTTGGCCACGCAAATATGCCTTAAGAGACTCCCGCACAATATAGATTAAGATGTCTGGAGTATCATTAACTCAAGATAAAGTCAATTTGAACTGATGTATTTTACAGAATCCTCAGGCCGACAATAAGTTGAATCAAACCTCCATGTTTCGCAGCAAACGACACGCGTTGGGAAAGGAGATTATCCATTTGTACAGGTGAAATGAAGCAGAAATCACAATAGAGTGATATTTACAATGTGGTAACTATGGGGGTATAAGGCCCTTATCCAATTAAAAATAATCAATCCTCGAGTAAGAATGGTGCAACGGAGGAGAAAAAATTATAATATTTGGCAGATGGTTTCGGTCCCACGCAGTGGGTACACAATACCATACGTTCTGAAAAAGACTTAAAGTTTTTGAGGCTGAATTTGGAAAAATTTCTGCAGTTTGCCGTGTTTTGGAAGATCGAGAGCTGGGTCAAGGTACCACATTATAAAATCCCCTCCCCAGAATTAAATAACAATAGCAATTCAAGTCAGGTAATAAACCATAAGTGTCTTAAAAAAAATGAGGGTTATCCCAGTTGGTGCATAGACAATATATAAAACGACTGGGTTATTATAAAATTTCATGTGTTCATGACAAAACGACCATTGACATCATGCGTTACCTTTGAACAAAGAAATGGTCAGTTCTTCTTGACAAGTATGGCAACCCCTCAGGCCCTGGATCAAAGCCTGAATGATAAACTGCAAACAACCGCTGTGTGAAAGTTTGTACAATCCGTAGGAGCGGAAGCGTGCGTCTCTGTAAAAAAAACCAACAATGTCCAGGTTTAAAAGTTTTAAGATGTGCAAATATCTTTTTGCGCTTACAAAGTTTATTAACCCTTTAGGGTAGGGGCGCCAGAGTTTTTTCAAGAAAATGTACAATTGTGATTTCAAGATTTCAAAAGGCTATAACCTTTAAAATGGTTTGAGATAAAGGCATACTGTAAATTAGAAATATCTTCAGTCTGAACAAAACTTTGGGAATGGAAAGTGTTTTCGTCATCTAATTTGCATATTTCCCCTGACGCCAACAAGGTGGCGGCCTTTGAAAATGTTAATTATTGTATAAAGACTTCAAAAAGCCTGAGTACTTGGAGTTATTGAGATCAGGGAAAACTTTTAACCGTAAATGTGAAATATATCTTTAGTATGAAATGAATTTGGGATAGAAATAAATTCCCTGATCCAATTATACATAAGTTTTAGCACAGGTTCGCAGATATATGAATTTTTTTTAATGTTCAAAGACCTTCAGTGATCAGCGGCACTCTTTATGTTTACAGTCATGACATCTGGAGATTGGTGTTCAATATTTCCCTTTCAAAAGTATGTTGGGCATATATTTTTCTCAGTGGAATGAGGCATCAGGATTTATCGTGTAGAAATACAGAGAAGATGAAATGAATGGGCACAGAACATGTCAGATCTTCTCAAACAAGAACACAACAGGCTCTTCAACACTTCTGGTTCACTTTTGTGATTATTTTCTCTCAAGAACGAGCTTCCACCTCATCATCCGCTGTTGGTAAAGGCAGTGAACGCGATAGCGATGTGCGTTTTCCCGCGGCTCCCCCCGCAAACTTCTCCCGCGTCCTCCCCGCGGATGTCTAACTACCCCCCCCGGCTACTTTCTCCCACACCCGGTGTTTAATGCCCCTGTCCCCTCCACCCGCCGCCTGCTTGGCGTTCACGAATAAATGCTCTACCGCGAGCACAACGGAGGACAAGCAGCCCCGCTGCAACAGGGCTCGATTGTGGACAAATGGCGCGTCTCTCCCCGTCACCAATAATGCCGAGTCTGCTTCAACTGACACTGCGTGCCGTCCTCTCTAGAATCTGAGTGAGCCGTACCAGACCAAGTACTTCTCTGGTACTGAAGACCTCGTGAGTAAAATAAAAAAAACACTCTCTCCCCTGCTCTGCTCTCGCTCCTCTCAGCTCTAACCGCTTGCTGCTATCACCTCCCGCTGCCGCTGGCGCCGCAGGTTTTGTACGAACTAAGTCCTTTTTACGTTCCATGATGATAAATGAAAAAGTAGGCCCACCTTCAGCCAGCAACTAATATGGACCCGCCATACGTCCATGAGATAAATTAGTGAGGAGGGACCATCATGATGGGAGCACAGAGCATTGGGGGAAGAGAGCAAGAGATTGCAGCCATATACAACACTAAGAGAAAAAATAATAATAAATAAATAAATTTAAAAAAAGCAAAAACTGACCAAAAACATCCCCCCGCAAGAAAAAACAAAAATCAAAAAAGTAGATTCTTCTCACTCCACACCGGAGGAGACAACCTCAACCCACCCCCCAAAGAGCTTGAATGTAACATGTAAACACACAACAACAACGCTACCCTCAGCAGAGAACCAAGCTAAGTTTACCAAAATAACTATCTGACACAATATGTAAAAGAAAAAAAAAAATATAGGATTGCCATCATCCAGACTTTCTACTCTGTATAAAATGTGAATGTGAATTATGGTAAAAAAGAACAGTAACCAATTGTCATTATGAACAAAGAACTCAAATAAAAGCTAACAGGACATTAAGTATGCCGATATTCAACTATCATTTCATCTCTCCTTCTTCAGAAGGTGACTCACAGTGTAGACCTTAGCAGCAATCTGGCTCGTGAAGACCTTTTCCCCCAAAGGCGAGGAGATCCTCAGCTTTCCTGGTACAGCATACCGTATCTCACGTCTTGACATCCGCTTGAAAGCATCTCATGGAGGATTTTCACATTGTAAGCAAGGGGCCTCCTTGGGAAAGTAACTAATTTGTTCCCCCTCCTCAAATTGTTCGCTACTAATTTGAAGTTCCCTTAAAATTACTAATTTGCTAATATGGTCCTAATTTGTTTCTCTCAAATTACAAAAATGACGTGGCTCAAGCAATTTCAGTCACCTGCATTGTACTTATGGCGAGTGTCAATTCTGGGCCATATCGTGTTGTCCCATGTTAAGGCAGTTGTATTTATTTAGGCCTGTGTTTGCTGAATGTCAAGCTCTCAATTCTCTGGTTGGCAGTACTTGCGTCAGTGATAGCTTCTCTCCGCTCTCTTCATCCATGTAATTTCTGCTCCGTAAATACTCGCTGAATGTCACTATCTCACCACCACGTTCTCAGGCCCATGCCCAGGTCAATTCGTACGAGCCGGGGCAGTCCCCCCACGGCGCTACCAGCTGTTCTACAAATGTACCCCCCGACTAATCTTTAGGGTTACTGTTAGAGGAAGGCAGGCCCCAGCCAAATATGTTGCGGAGAACCCGTCGATGCAACCATTAATTACATATCCTACATATGGCTTCACTTGTTCATGATGAATCTATGTGCCACACAAAGTTCCGGTTCCGCCTGAGCAAAAAATAATTGCCTCCTCGGTTAGACGACTGCGCTTGCGAGTCTTGGGGAACCGATGGGGTCCAGTAAAGAGAGGAGAGATCCTGACGTCTTCATTTTTATATGAAATACCTGTTGTTTACACTTTGTAAACACCACCGGAGCCGTGATCCTTTCCAGGGCCCTGCAGTTGGTCAACAATAAAAAAAATCAATGTCCGCGTCCAAGTCATACCTTCGCCTGTAAGCACCTGGCTCCTCCAAGATTCTGTTTAAATGTCCTCTCATAATGATGGTATCCCTTGCAATGCCAGGCTCTTCAAAAGTCTTTGTAGCACATTCCCAGCCTAAAATAAAATATATTATACTGTCGCCCCTGTCATAGTGTAGCTTTAAGCCCTTCTAATGCCTCTACCTTAAACCCTTATAGAATTGTAGCTATATATTAAGTAATTTGCAAGGAACAAATAAGTATTTTGAGGGGAACAAATTCGTAATTGAGAGAAACAAATTAGTAATTTGAGGGAACAAATTAGTATTTTGAGGGAACAAAATTAAGTAATTTGAGGGAACAAATTAGTATTTTAGGGAACAATTAGTATTTTGAGGGAACAAATTAGTAAATTTGAGGGAACAAATTAGTATTTTGAGAAACAAATTAGTAATTTTGAGGGTACAAATTAGTAAGTTTGAGGGAACAAATTAGTTTATTTTGTGGCCAACAATTTAATTTTTTTTTTATAACCATGATCATCAAGGGGCTCCGGTAAGGGCCATTCGACGCCGACTTCGAAGAACCTCAAGTTATTCTTGAATAGTAGTGAAACCTTGACAATAAAGCGGCCTGGGGCTCTGACCTTGTCACAGGGCTGGTTGCAGGCTACGATGCCTGTCCAACGTGGGGCCGCATCAAATGTATAAGTTCCTTAAGTAGCCTAGCCACAGGAAGCCAACATGTTGCTTCCTGCCTCAAACTGATCTTTTATATCCCGATTATAGCGAATGTTGCAAACGCCTTTGTCTCCCCTCCAGGCCTCATTTTATCTACCAAGGCTGTTAGTTTTCTTTTAGGCAGTCGAACTTCGCCTCTATGATCACAACTCTGAGTATTGTTAGTAGCGGCTTCCAAGCTAGTTAGCCAGTTTTAGCAAGTTATAGTTGAGCAAGTTAGTAGCTATTTTAGTTTGTGTGACTTGTCTAAACGTGGTGTTTCTGTGCATGAATTTGTGAAGGCGTCTTTGAGTTCTTGAAAAGCGCTATCAAAACGGAATGATATATATTATGCTGTCCAAACGATTAAAATATTTTAAATCGCGTTGATTAATCCGCATGAATTTACATAGTAAACGTCCGCGATTAATCGCAAATTTCGTCACAACCATTTGCGTGCTGTGGGTGCAATTGGCTTTTTTTATTGGAAAACATGGTGTAGGTTATATTACACACTAACATGTTGATGCAAATATCAATAAAATGGAATGACAAAAATAATTAATTGGTAACAAAACGCCCTTCAATGTGTGTGTGTGGGTGTGTGTGTTATGTGTGGTATAGACCATAGACTGTATGAAACGATCATGGGTGTCGATTATGTTGACGATAAACTATCTGTAAAGATTTGTAAATTTGTTCATGGGGAATACACCTATGCTGTTTCTGTTTACCTTCGGTATACTCCTACTGAAAAAAAAAAGCCTACAGAAAGTCAAAATTACAACTTTAAAAGTCAAAATTTCGACTTTAAAGATCAAAATTACGAGTTTTCAACTGCGCATGTGCAGTTGAAAACTCGTATGTGTTGTTGTCTGGAACGGTCTCTGGTCATCCCTGTTATAGATCCATGACCATGGGTCATCCTCTACCTGCAGATTATGTGAAGATTTTGCCTACAGACAGTGACCACATCCATGAAGTAGCAGCAATAATGTTGTGGTAGTAATGGCGTTAAAATGCAAAGGGTCTCTCCGTTTATGATTAGAATCCGCTTCAGAAGCCTCTATTTAGTTTATCCTAAACGGACTGTGGAAGATTAATAATAAAACACATGCGGCTGTTCAAAGTCATTGAGCATCAACTGGTGACATCTGGTCAGTATCACGGCTATCGATGGATGCACCAGAAATGCAGTGAATGATATTGTGACTGACAGAGAGACTGTTCGCGATGACAGGACAGTGAGAGAGGTCCGCAGACAGAGGCAGGAGAACCATAGTCACGGGCACTGACAATGTTACCCTTTTGGAATTGCGATCAGTGCATTGAAGAGTATGTGACGTGTTTGCGTGCACGCGGGGTGAGCTGATGGAGCGAGCGTGCGGGTAAAGTTGTTGGCGTATGAGCAAGAACACAGAGACATACAGGAAAGAAGTACCTGGTCTGATTATTTTATTGTGACAAAATAAAGCCCACGACTCTTTTAGCAACAATCCGGAGAAATAACTCCGCAGATAACAGTGAGGGTCTTTGAAAAGGGAGTTAAACCCATTATAGATGCATGAATAAAACCCCGTACTCAACACGTAGAAAGCGCATCCTTTCAGCCGTGGAAACACTCGCTCCGTGTGGACCCCTCTCAGCGCCATCGTCTGGTCAGAGTGGTCTATAGCAGATTGGATTGGAATGTCTCGATGGCTCATTTTCCTTTGATTTATTATAAAAAACATATTGCTCACATTATTTGTTACTATGTCGAAATAAGAAGTTGTTTGATTTAAATGTTGTATATATGTAAATTGAATTTAACATAAATAAATAAAAAGACAGATCCCCCCTACGTTCTACGACCGCGGTCTGGGGCTTAAACAGGAAAGTTTTACAGAATCAATCAAACAACATTATTTCTGGCTACTTCAAGGATGCAGTGGTCACTGTCGGCAATAGCTTCACATAATCTGCAGGTGAAGGACGTCCAGAGACCGTTCCAGACAACAACACTTACGAGTTTTCAACTGCACATGCGCAGTTGAAAACTCGTAATTTTGACTTTTAAAGTCGAAATTTTGACTTTTAAAAGTTGTAATTTTGAGTTTTAAACTCAAAATTTTGACTTTCTGTATGCTTTTTTTTTTTTTTTTACATGGCGGAAACGGGCTTCCACACTTATGTTATGAGTTAATCCTATCTGGAGCAGTTTGGTCCTGTATGTGAGAGAACACCATTCTAGACCTCGTGTTGTGATGGTTAAATTGACCAATCCATACTCACCGTCAGACATCAATACTGTGTTACATCATTTATGTTTTGAATGCACTGAAAACGGCAGTCCAAAGTAGCTCTGAAACAGTTGTTCTTATGTGCTCTACAATTGGTATTTTCTTGCTTTTTTTCTTCCTGAGATGTTGCTGCAGTACAGTTTTCATGGTTTTACACTGGTCCAGACCGGCACGAAGAGGATTCATGGTCCCAAACAAAGAGAATCAGGAAAATATCCACTGGAGGAATGCTAACTTTTTGAAAAATGCTAACAAAGGGTTCAGCATTTTACTTTGGACAAGAGCAGAGAAAATCGGCCGAACCAAGCGGCTGCTCCACCTCTGCTACTATTGCATTTTAATACTATACTTTTTAATACTAAGCTTTTCTTTGGAATTATCTATTTCTTTGTTGTGTTTGTATGAATGCATGTGTTTCTGCAGCTACTGGACACCTGGATGTCTCCTATAAAGTGTCTATCAATCTATAAACTCGTGATATCTCAAAGTACTGTTTGTCATTGATATTGTAATCTTTAGGAGGCTGGAGTGGCAGTTCCAGGCCTGTCACTTTGGAGAAACCACAAGAGACACGTTGAGAGACACAGACCAGAGTATCGTCATACTGCACGCAAAGGTCGCCCAGAAGTCCTATGGCAACGAGAAAAGGTACTCGTGTTCAGTACAAGCACAGAGATAATAATAAGGGAAGTTGTATACATGTTTCTCCCATCCTGTCTGTCCTGCCAATTTAAGGAGTATTTCTTTTACAGAGATTATCAGTCCATATCAATATTTGTCATCGCCTAATTCAGAGGTCGAGAACTTTTTTAGTTGAAAGAACCAAAAAAGTCTTGAAAATGTATTTCTGTGGGAGTCATTCACATTTTTATTACTGTGAATATGCATGATTTCTTTTAAACAAGATCAACATATTTAGAGTGTAATTTTAGTCTCAGAATGTAATATTTTGTTTAATAACATTTTTTATACTGAATAAATCCAGCACATAAAATATGATTACTATTAAGGCCAACTAATAGCCAGAGACAATCATCAAAAGAGAGGCAAGACTCTTGGCAATGTATTTTAAAATTATATTAAAATGTCCAAAGGAAAAATAACCCTAAATAGTTAAAAATTCCATAGACCATAGCTTAAGAGATAAATAAATAATGGAAATGCTTAAAAAATATGTAGAAAAACCAGGGGAGCCAGGTCACTCTGTTACGTTGGCGCCTAAAGGAAAACCACATAGATTGTGTAATGCCACCTGTTGATAAGTAATGGAAAGTGGTTACACACATAGAAAAGTATGCTCTCTGTTGATGTTCCAGGTTTTTCTGTCCTCCTCCTTGTGTGTACATCAGCGGACAAGGATGGAGAGTCATGCAGGATAATCTCAAAGGTATAACTCTTTGATATTTTGACTACTAAATCTTTCTGAGTGTGCCTTTGTGGCTCTGCAGTGTCCGGCTTTGGAGACTCGGTGTACCAGGTCAGAGGATACATGTGTCTGGACAGCACCAGCCAATCACAGACTGACGCTTTCAAACTGGTGTTCGATGAGCAAGCGGACTCCAGGGTAAGAGTAGTGACTGATTCGGAAGTAGAGAAAGGAGATTATTTATATCTTGTATCTTAAAACAATAAAAAACAAAAAAGTGAATAATTAAGTCCCCAAGACCTACTAGTCTAAGAAACGTCTATTTGGAATATGAAAAAAGCAAGACCACTACAGTGGGGAATAGGCAAGTATCAATGCAGAAATACTGAAATCAACAAGTTGTGTGGGAAATATTGTATATGTGTTTGAATATATTGATTTGGTCACTTCTTAAAATCTGTTTGTGTAAGCCCTCAGTCGTACAGGGATTAGTCAAAGCAAAGGAAGGTTTCTCACCCATCGTCTGTACTTCTTAGCAAGTTTTCCCGACGTTTCGTCCTCAAACTAGCGGACTTCTTCAGGGAATGAATTCTCGGACCGCGCGTTGGAGATTTATAACCTATGGGTGTGGTTAGCCACACCCTAATCCTGATACTAACTCATAAACAATCTAAGGTCTGCTTGATGTAGAAGGGAGCATCTGTACTTGCTAAGAAGTACAGATGATGGGTGAGAAATCTTCCTTTACTTCTTAAAATCAATACATTTTTAACAAGGGTATTCAAATGTTCTCCTACCCGCTGTTTAAAACTACAATAATTCAGTCCTGTTAATCTTTGAAAATATCATTTTTCCTCAACCATTTGGGCCACTATATAGAAATCCCGCTGTCTCATTATTTATTGAGATTTTTAGCATGTAACTTGCAACTCTCCGTGCTTTTTAATTTCCCCTTGGAGATAAATAAAGTGATTGATTGGTATCAACTTGAAGCCTGGAACTGAAATTTACCTCTTTGGGGCATCTCACTTGGTTTTAGGTACTTTGACCATTAAAGCTGCACTAACTGACTTTGGGATTTTGAAGCCGCGGACTCGCTGGCCTCTCTCTTTCTGCTCCCCTCCCCGCACCCACGAAGCTATCGCCCCCCACACACACCCACTGTTGTTGACGAAGCTAGCGTCTCCCAATATGGATAATACATGGACATGGATTTGCACGTGGATGGCGTGACCATAGAACGATAGAACCGGGAAGCGCGGAGGAACGAGACTTTCTTTTGAATGGCTGTTTCGCTGTGTAAGCAGTAACTGGTGACGAAGACACACGAAGTTTCAGGTTAGCTCCTCGGCTTGTTGTGCTAACTCAGCCGTCTGTGCTAACGGACCTGTAGATTTCTCACAAAAGTGGGGGCTAGTGGTCCGCTGTGATTGGTCACAATCTGCGACCCGAAACACATTCTCTTCCTTGTTTCATCAAAACTCGATCTAAAATATAATGTCACGCCAGCACAAATCTGCACTACTTTTTCGTCAAAAGGACGTATATCCCAATGCCCTACACGGACATGGATAGCATTTTCGTAATGAATACAAAAATAAAGTCAGTTAGTGCAGCTTTAAAAAATACGGGTTAAAAAAAACTAATTAATTTAGTTATTATTGCTCCTTTATTTCAAAAATATATTCATTCCTCAAGAAGTGAATGTAAAAGGGATATCTTTTTACCAGATAATAGGTGACAGAATCTGACAAATTAGCAGTTGGTTGAAGAGTTTTTCTCAAGAGCACAAAATCAGTTGAAATACGACTTGTACAATGTCAGTGTTTATTGAAATGACTTTGAATTATATTTCTATTCATCCTTCCTGTACCCAATTCACATAGCACCAGCCCCTCACTGATCCTGCTGCAGGTGGTGAGTCCACAGGAGCTTATTTCTGTTCAATTCAAGTCAATGTATTCTTGTATCGCCCTAAATCACAACCACAGTTATCACAGAGGACTTAACAAACCGGTGAAATCGCCAACACAGGTCAGAGAATCTAACAGCTCAAACACAAAGAATAGAGAACACATTAGTTTGGTCCGTTAGGGGGAGTTGACCAATGTCCACGCATGTTGATACATTTCCATAGATATTTCTCATGTGTTTGTTGTGGCAGCATCTGTACCAGAGTGGAAAGAATGTCTGTCACAGTTGTTGCACTGTCTTTGAACTTGCACTGCTCATCCGGGCTGATTGTCTCTGAGAGTGCGCTGTATTTACAAAGGCTTTTTATTTGAGTTTGTGGACAAACACCACCGCTGTGTCCACAGGTATTTTACTCTCAGACCAAGCACAAAGGCATTTCACATCCACATTCTACAGTCAGACAGAACCACACAGCTCTGAGCGGCAAATCTGTTAATTGGCTTGAACTATTCTAATCAGAGCCATGGAAGGATGAGCAATATTGACTGAAATAATCGATCAATCTTAATAGTTAGAGTCTTCTCTGAAATGGGAGAAACAAATGATAACATATTGGGTGTCGCGTGCGATGAGATGCAGGAAGGACCCAAAATGCAGGAATGCCAAAAAATAAGAGTTTTTTTGTTTAATGGTAATAAAATAAAAAGTCCAGGTGAAAACAAAACTCATTAATCCAAAACGGAACCAGGAACAAAGGCAATACAGAGACGAGACATTACAATGGACCAGCAATCCAATGCAGCTTGACCTAACATCTCTGAGGAGTTTAACCTTCTCGAGTCTTACCTTACCTAAGCCATAGCTCAAACTAAAGAGGACTGTTTTTAACCTAGCCTTGAATAAAGAATAACATACAGCATAAAGATCTACCGATGTTTAAAGACTTTTCTTTTTTCCCCGTGCTTAACAACTAAGAACTTTTATCTTTTTAACAAACCTTGTTATTTATTGTTGTATCTTTTTGTGTTTTTTAACTATTTTATTGTTTTTAATTACCTTGGGTGATTTTTATGTTTTTAAATTACTATGTGATGTTAATGCTTTTAATTACATATGTGTTTTAATTGTATTTTAATGGTGATGATAATGTGGCATTTGAGTGGTGTGGACTGTGAGGCGCTTTGTGTTGCCCTGTGCAGGAAAAGCGCCCTATAAATAAAGATTGATTGATTGATTGATAATATATAACATAATATACAACATAACACAATACATTATTGAATAATATAAAACGCTAATATATAACATAATAACAGCATATATAATATTATCTATACACAACATGATTATTTAAATTTAACCTAAGTTATAAGCTAAATTAAAGTAACAGTGCTTTAAGCCTGGCCTTGAATGTGGAGACCGTATCTGCTTCCTTAACATAAATGGGAAGCTGATTCACAGTAAGAGCTTGGTAGCTAAATGCTCTGCCACCAACAGTGAGCCTTTGAGACCTTAGGGACCACCAGACGTCTGGCGTTTGTGAGCGCAACGCTCGACTCCTGTTGATACGACACTAACGTGTCTTGGAGATAAGAAGGAGCCAAGCCATGTTTATGGCTTTATATGTTAAGAGTTAGGATTTTAACTTTCTTCTGTACTCCACAGGGAGCCAGTGGAGTGATTTTAACACCGGAGTTATGTGCTCCCTCCTTTGGTACCTGTTAAGATCCTATGCTGCTGTATTCTGAACGAGCTGAAGCTCTTCAAAGAGCTATTAGGGCACGCTGCCAGTAAAGCGTTTACAGTAGTCGAGCCTTGAGGTGACAAATTCGCGTGAATGAGTTTTTCCCGCGTCACTTTTAGGAAGGAAATATCCAAATTTTAGCGATGTTTCCGTAACGTGGAAGTACGCCGTTTTAGTTGCTTGGCTTTATAGCCTTGAAGGAGATTCTTGGTCAAAAAATGACTCCAAGATTCCTCACAACTGTGTTACTGGGTAATATACTGACATTACGAGAAGTAAACCATCTGGTTAGTGGAGGGCGCACCGCACGCTCGGGACCGAGTAGATCACTTCTGTCTTCTCCGGGTTGAGAAGTAGGAATTTAAGAGTCATCCACAATTTAAGGTCCTTTATGCAGCACTGAGCTTTTCTAGCTGATCTGTCTGATAGGCTTCATCGACAGATAATAGCGTGTGTCACACTGCATAGCAGTGGAAATTAAATTCCATGCTTTTTAATAATGTTTTCCCAGTGGCCAGCATGTAGAGAGAGTATAAAGAATCGGTCCCGAGTACCGAACCCTGCGGCACACCGAATTCCACTCCAGAATAAGGCGACGAGTCCTGATTCACATTGGACCGAAGTGATATCGATCTGATAAATAGGATGTTAAACCAGTCCAAGAGCTGTCCTTAAGACCTAATATCACATTCTAAAGCCTCGGCAGTAAGAATGCTGTGTCTATTGTGTCAAATGCAGCACTAAGGTCCATAGGACACACTGACACTTGTCCATTATCGTCAAGCTAGAAGTAAGTCAGTTGTGACTTTGACTAGTGCCGTTTCATTGCTATGAAATGACTCTGAATCCTGATTGAAAGACTTCAAACATATCATTTCCTGCCGGTGGCAGCGGAGCTGCTCCGCAATAAGTTTTTTTCCAGATTTTTATAGATAAAACGTGAGGTTTGAGATCGCTCTGTAGTTTGTAAGTATTTCTGGGTCCAGGTTTGTTTTCTTCAAAGGGGTTTGATTACCATGCGGTATTTAAAAGCATGTTGACATAGCCACATTGTATGGATGCGTTATTAATAGTTAAGCGATAGGCTCAATTATCAAAGGAAGTATGTCTTTTGAAGAAGCCATGTCGGGACTCTGCGTCTAACATGCAAGTGTGGAGCTTTTGAGGATGAGACCACAAGATCCCCTCTGCTTGGCTCACGCCAAGAAATTTATTAAGGGCCACCACTGAAGAGTCCTAAGTGGAAGTCCACGTAATGCCGCTTCAACCGTCCACTCACTAACAGCAGGAGCAACCTCCGACAGCTTGTCACGGATGGATGTAAGTTTATTTTTAAAGCAGAGGAGAAAGTTCCGACACGCTCAGTGAGCTTGAAATTTTAGGCTCATTGCGCTATGGCAGAGTTGGTGGGTTTAGCGACTGGTACCAAACACAAATCTACTGTGTTTTTATTCACGTCTATTAAAGTTTGAATAGTATTGAGTTCGAGCCCCGCGAAGGGCCTTCCTTGTAGGTTTTCGGAGACCTGCTTTCCACTCCCTGTGGAAGGCTCCCGAGTGGGAGTGTGGCGATATAGCACACCAATTTTCTGACGTCCTGGTTATAAAAGTGTGGAGTGAACACTGTACCCAGGCGACGATGATCTAATCCTACTGGTTTTCTGTTTTAAAGGAAGCTGCTGCATTTAATGCAGATTTTAAAGACTCCATAGTGTTGCCCACCGTTTGGTCAATGACGGAGGGGACTGCAGCTGCTGTGAAACAGTTTCACCTGATCAGTATTCAACATAGGCTGTATTAGTTCTTGAAGCCTTGTTGATAGATTTATCAGATTAAGGTTCTTTTCATTATGGTTTTAGCTTGCGGGACAGGAAATTCCTCCAAAGCGAGATCAAACGTGACAAGAAATGGTCAGACAGCAACGAGCATTGACGCTGGATGTCAAGCATGAGACGATCACACGTTCAGGTCAAGGACAAGTCCACCAAGGTGTGGTTATGAATGTGGAGTAGGTTCTGCGACATTCTGAGTAAAACCAACACCATCTAGTACGGCGCTGAAAGCTATGATTATAAGCAGTCAGTGCTAGTCGTCCACATTATATTGAAGTCTCACCCACAGCTATAACTATGTTTTTCCCCCTCTTTTCCCATTCCAAAACTAGTGTTGAATGATCAGAGAATTCTGTTAGGAACTCCGCTGTAAGGACCAGGAGGTCGGTAGAAAACTAGAAAGCGTACTCTTTTTGTTTCTCCACCCAGGACAGGAGATTGAAAGTGTTAAAAGTGTTTCAAACAGTGAAAAACGTTGTTGGTTTTGGACTAAGAACCTAGTTGGTGTGTGATATAAGCGCAACACCACCGCACGCGACCGTAGCCTGCTTACTGGTAGTTAACATGGCGCGTAGGAGTGCACAGTCATTCAATCTGACGTAGTCGTCCTGTTTGAGCCAAGTCTCCGAGAGCGCAAACCGATCCAAGCCCATGTCTATAATAAGTTCGATTATGAGAAGCGATTTAGACTAGATTGATCGGACTTCATTAAACCACATTTAACAACCCTACCGCTACGAAAATATTTCCTGTCTGTCCTTAACTTTTATTAAGTTCTGTTCTGACACCTAGGTCAGATTTCCTCGCTTATAGTGGCATTAGACTTCATCGGGAACACACACAGTTTCAATCTGAATAGTTTCTGAGCTATAACTGAGACACGACAACGACAGGCACATATCACACACATGCACACACAGTTTCAATCTGACTACCTCTGAGGCTATTAAACTGAACAGAATGGGGGCTCAGAGTTTGGCAGAGGCAGCTCTGCCCCGGCCCTCAGTTCCTGCATCGTCAGAATGAGCCAGAGCAGAACAGTTAGAGCCAGGGCCAAATTCTTAAGCCAAAAGGGATGTAGCCCGCCAACGTTGGGTGGATATCATCCGCGCGGAGAGACCCGGCTTTCCCACAAGGCGACTCCAATTGCAACATAACAACACCCTTCGAGGGCACAGCCAACAGCCAGCGGTTTGAAAGCCGATGTCTGCTGAAAGCATCTGCAACTGCTAGTGCTAGGTAGGGGGCCCAAGAAGATACAGAGTTCGGCCATTGTGCTAGCCAGCTGCAAACGGCGGGCGACTTGCAGCTCAACAACACCTCGGACTGTTACCGGCCGAACGCATTACCACCCCCGTGAATAACAATTCGACGGATAAGCGCTGCTTGTGGTCATCATGAGCCTCAGATTCCCTCATATCACCAAGCCGGCCCCAGGGAAGGCACCGAACCTTTATGGTGTTTGTATTCACATTACACTGACGTTAGTGTCAATAAAGTGTAAAAATGAAAGGGGCACTGCTTTATATTCAACACCAACACCAGTTTTAAGTGTGTAGCCAACAAAACACAGTGTTGGAAATCAAGTAACACTACACAAGGTGTTTAAACCGAAATGCACTAGCAGGATATCAAATTACAAATGTAATAAAAGACAATTAGCAAAATTGTATGGAAAAAGTCTTTGTAATGAAATTCAATGCTATTAACAATACTGCAGTGAGGTACAATAGAAACATTTTTTCATCATTTTCGGTGAAAA